AGCACAGGTCTGAGCCGAAGAGATAGTGCAAAGAGGTATTTAAAGAGTGCAATTCCAAAAAGTCCCTTACCTTGAGCGGAAAATACCTATTTATAGTTGTGCCTTTGTGTCCTACATGGATAGGGATTCTGGGGTTGTCAAGATGAGGGCATCTGCCGAGGTCTTCAGGAGGTTTCCTCTTCCCTAGCGGAGTTCATTTCCTTGTCTATGCAGGATACTCCTTAGTCATGCTCTTCTATTATGTGTGGCGTCGATGTGTCCTAAGAGGGGGGGCGACCACGGAGATAGCCATGTGACATCCTTGGCTAGCTCAACCATCACTCGAACACAAAGAACCTTGAGTCGAAGGTGTGATCCCTAGTTGGCAATTTACAGTCAAGTCTGCTTACCGCAGCTTTGTGAACCTCAAGTAGAATCAAAGCTCTTCTCATGTCAAATGGACAGCAATCAAAAAGCTAATTAAGCTACCCCAAGATACAAAGGTGGTTTTTGGTTGATTTTTTAGTGTGTCTTATAGTCTGCGATAAGTTTAAATGACAAAAAAATGTCATTTCGGTTTGGTATCATGTAGATCGAAAGACCAGAAGACGAGTGCATAGAAAGATTAAAAGAGCCAGAAATTAGGAAGTTTCCAATGAAGCTTTTGGTCTTTCAGTGCTGAAAATAGCCTTCTCAACTGCTTTTAACACCTCAGTAGGCCATGATGCAAATCAAACAGTCTTTGTCTTTGACAGACCCCAAAACTTCAGTGTGTCTTCTTGTTTACAGAGCTGTTGAAAGATCTACTTAAAAATACATGCCAAACGGCCCCAAAATCTTTATGTGAAGGCTGATATGGGAAGGACTCCCCTTCAAAGTTGTGCTATGGAAGTGTCACTTGTTGCAGGAAAAAGAATGTCCTCTTTGCGACATCGAAGAGTAAGGGTGTCGCTTGGATTGTATTTGGTCCAATCCGATCCAATCCAATGTGAATCCATTACAAATCGACTAGGTCCAATCCAATCCAATGAATATTTTTTTCCATTTTGGACCAGTTCAATTCAATGTATGGAGTCTAGACTGTCTAGTCTGTTCAAATTTGTTTTAATTTAGATTAACTCTCAATCCAATCCAATCCAACATAAATTCATTAGAATGGACAAGGTTCAATCCCATCCAATAAATACTTTAGACCATTAAGTCTGGACTGGTCTAAGTCAATATGTCTTGTTGGTTCGTCCAACCCATACAAATTGATTTTGGTTTTGATGGGGCTGAATCCAAAACCGGTGCATTGACACCCCTATCAAGGAGGAAACTGAATTTCATCTAATGGTTTGTTGTCCTTTTGCAAGAACTATATATGGATGCACTCTCACGCACGTTTTAACTCAGATTACTTTGAGGAAAAGCCCATCCTAGACCCGATTAAACAATAGGTGTGGGTGGTAGGGGTGACAACGAGCCGAGCTTTTCACTAGTTGCTCGAGCTCGGCTCGGCTCGGTTTCAACTGAGTTCGAGCTTGAGCTTGAGCCCAATTCATTGGCTTGATTATTAAATGAGTCGAGCTCGAACATACTAGAGCTCAGCTCATGAGACTTGCGAGCCGGCTCGAATATATATATAATTATAGTTATTAATTATTATAATTCTTAATTTTTTAAATATCAAATAAAAAATGTTTTTATATATAATTTTTTATTTTTATAAAATATTTTTTCTCAAAATCAAGCTCGAGTTTATGAATTTTTGATTCGAGCTGAGCTTGAGCTCAACGTTTTGACTCAAACTGAATTCGAGATTGAGCCTAATACTATTCGGCTCGGCTCGAATCCACCCCTACGGGTGGCCAAACTCATTTGGAAATTGAAATGCACACGTAACGATCATATCTTTCGTAACACTGCTCTAGACCTACAAACGGTGATTAGAAGACCTCATTTCTTTTACAAATCATTCTAACACCTCCCATCATCAGGATAGCATTAGAGTCTAGAGCCACTCATCTGCATAAATTATTTGTTGATGGATCCTACGTTAGTAGTGCAGAGACAGGCTTTGGTTTTGTCTTATCCCCTCAGAATGTCTTTAATAGCAATGTTCAAATTCGGTTGATAAACTGAAAACCGAACCGAATTAAACCGAATAAGTTAATTCGGTTTGGTTTTATTTTCTAAAAAATCAGTTTTTGGTTTCTATTCAGTTTGACTGAAATTTTTAACTGAACGGAAGTGAAAATCGAATTAATGTTGTTATTTACTTAAGTATATTAAATATTAATGTTTTATTTAATAATTTATGCTAATTAATTATAATATTTCCTAATGAACAATTTGTCAACTCCCCATTGGGCTTTAGGCCCATTCTAATTTTTAATTAATAATAGTTAATTAAAACCTAGACTCATTATTAATTGTTTATTAATCATTAATTATTCATTAATCATTAATTATTTTTGAAAATAACCAATTCGCCAATTCCCAATTGGCATAGGGCTTTGGGCCTATTCTAGCTCTTAATTAATAATAGATAATTAATTAAAACCGTTGGGCTTTAAGGTCATTCTAAATTTTAATTAATTAAAACCATTGGGTTTGGGGCCAATTTAAGTTTTAATTAATAATACTTGTTAAATGCTTATCATTTATGTGGAACCAGGGTCCAACCGAACCAAATTCGGTTAGGGTCATTTTGGTTCTAAAATATAATTTGGTATGGTTCGGTTATTGGAAATGGTAAAACCGAATAATCGGTTAGGTCCTAGGTTTGAATCAAACCAAACCGAACCGACCAATTGTACACCTGTAGTCTTTATTGTAGCAGTAGAATCTTCACTTTCAATTCTGATGCAAAGTCTAGAGCTGGCTGAAAGCTTGGCGATCCTTAGGCTGCGTTTGGATCAGGTGAAAAAGAACATCAAAGGTCGGTGTAAAACAGATTTTTATATCGATAATCAATGTATTAAATACATCATTTTTTTCGATGCAAAACTCCTTGCACCACTCTCCTTGTAATATCTCTTTGTCTCATTTCCTTCCCACCGCTCCATTGATCAAGTTCACTTTTGGGGGCTTAGGAAGGAAGATTGATGCTTCTGTTGTGGCAAATAAGATATGGATTTTCAGTTAGGCTTCGAGGCGAAGGAAACAGACCTTGCTGCCCAACGGTCTGCCGGTAACGCTCCAACAGACCTTATCTGTCGGTATTGTGTACGCCGGTAATGCTCCAACAAACCTTGCCACCCAACAATCTATCAATGTTGTGTACGCCGATAACACTCCAACAGAGCTTGCCACCCAACAATTCGTCGGTGTTGTGTATGCCGATAATGCTCCAACTAACCTTGCCGCCCAAACAATCCGCCGGTAACGCTCCAATAGACCTTGCTGCCCAACATTCTGATGGTGTTGTGTACGCCAGTAACTCTCCAACAAACCTTGCCACCCAATAGTCCGCTAGCCCAAATTGTTTCTAAAGAGCAGCAAAGAGCGCGAGAGAGAAAAGACTGAGGTTCAAAAACGGCACAAGCTATGGCTTCGATGGCTAGCTTCAGGGTTCCTCTTAGGCTGCTCTGGAAGGTACTCCACTCCATTCTGTTGAATAGTTGTTTTCTCTATGCACCACTCCGCTTAATCATTTGTTTGCATTTACACCACAAACAAACGTAGCCTTGTGGCTCTGAGATGAGCTCATTAATCATGATTTTGGAATATACTCAGGACAGCATTTTGTTTTCTATAGGAAAGCGGATGCAGCAACCACCGAGAGGAAATCAAGTGGACGATGAAGCATTTTGTTTTCTACAGAATAGTATATATTCCTAGATATATGAATTTCATGGCTCATGAAACAACCAAAAGATCCCAAGGTTCTATCAATGTTAATGTAAATGTTGCTCACTGTCTTCAATCGAGGGCCACTTTTTTGTAACTGTCTAGAAAATAGGCAACAGAAACTTGGAGAAGAACTTTTGAGGCGTGTCTAAAGACATTGTTTTTAAAATTGTCCTCACTCAATTTTATTAAGTATGCTGTTTGGTTATAGAAAAATCCGTTCTCAGAATACAACAGAGCCTTTGGCAAGAATCTACAACTAGTAAAGTTAAAGAGTCCGAAAAAATCTTTTGTGAGACAATAGTAGATCGAACTGAGAGAGACGAGTGATTTTCACAAATTTGTGTTCATTTGCTTGATTCACATGCCTTGAATAATTTCTGAAGAGTCATAGAGCAAAGGAAGGTGTTGATTCATAAAAGGCTCTTTAAATAGTCACAATTTCAAACATTGTGGTTGTTAAAAGTTAATTAACAGTTAATGGCTGTCAAATTTGAAGAGTGCCTCTTTTTTGTTATCAATAATTGTGAAATATATTCATTAAACTTTGAATAATGTCTCTTAATCACACCCGATTGAATCGTGACTAATAAAACATCAATGGTCAGCCTCGCACCAAAAATCAAAACTACCTTATGTGGACCACAAGGGTGCGCATGAAGTACAAGCAAAGTACGCACACGCGTGTATGCACATTGCAAGAGAAAGAAAACTCCTATTTAAAACTACACACGTGTATGCACATTGCAAGAGAAAGAAAACTCTTATTTAAAACTTAAAACTCAAAACAATCTCTTATTTAAAAAAACTCAAAACAAGTTTAATAATTTTCCAATACGAGACAAATTGAAAACTAATTTTAGTAAGAGAAAACTATTTTCCAAGATATCTATGTAGGTGTGTTTTCCATTTCATTGATCAATCAAACCCCATTGAATTTAAAATCCAACAGTAACAAGGGAAACGGTTATAACTTGGCTCTTTTGCAATGAATCTCTCATATTTTGCCTACAGAAAAAAAGTTTCCAAGATTGATTGACCTCCTTACTGCGAGAGTTCAATGGCCCAAATCTTTAGTTAGAAAATCATTATTGGAAATATTTCACCTAGTAGAGTAAATTTGTGTAGTAACAGAAGCCATTGTTGATTTATCCTACGTTCTGGATAAATGATTGGAAATGATCGCGTGAGAAACCATGTTCCTTTCATTGGAATTATTATCTCAAATAACATCCGCTTCATATATGAAAGAAAAAGGAAAAAAAGTAGTCTTTCTTTCAAGTCCACTGAATTTTGCAAAATGAGATTTTTCTTTTTTTATCCCATCTTTTGTCGTCGTCCAACTCGAACCCAAGCTCACTTTTGAATCCTGTTAATAGAAGCCAAGATAAGAATTACAGTTTTCAATTCACATTTTTGGTTCAGATCAACCAGGCAACCTAGTAATGTTTCTCTTCCAATAAATGGGGCCTTGAAGATCCTCTTTGCCATCGACAAAACTTGCATCTGTACATCTCTGTAACAACTCAAATAAATTAGAATCTACTCACAAAACAATGAAACATTGAAGCCATTAATGACAACCTACAATTCTTGTTTTACATCTTGTTATGTACCTGTAATTGTTACTTCTGTATTGAATCTATTTACACCACAAAAAAATTCCTTGTCCCAATGGGAGGTGGGGGCGGTGAGCCCTAATTTGCTCGATGAACCAAACTACATGACCTGTTCAGCCGTCTAGGTGGAGGATTGCCCACTGGTAAGCTAAGAGTTTGTGATCTAGTCACCATGCTCACCATTGAAGGGGTCTCATACCCCACAGAACCCCCACTTACGTGCGAATTATTGCCTTCCGTGTTATACACAAGCCCATGAGTTGTCGAGTTCCCCCTTGTTGTGGCCCTCTGCCATGAGTGTGAGCTCAACCCTGACAGAACATAAGCCCGCCCTGTCTCTTCATACAGCTCTTGGCTTGCCATCCTCTCTCTTATCTCCTTCAGCTCAGCTTCTAGCCAGTTGCACAAACCATCTCCTGCTTGTGCTGATGCTGATGCTAAGAGTACTGACCTCCGGTTTGCAAGAACAGATTGAGCACCCTCCAGGTTTCCCTTCTCAGCCATCCCCTGAGCCTCTGCAATACCTTCTGCCACCCACAAACGGTTCCGCTGCCTGTCTACCTCCAGACACGTTGTATTGTCCAGAGAAGAGAGAACCTTGGGGCGCCTAATCTCCACCCTCCTGCTTTCTCCATGGACCATCTCTTGTGAGAGTGGATCCTTGTAAGTGCACTCCACAGCCAACAATGGAGTGGTGGCCTCAATTTCTTCACTTTCTTCGGTTGGGAACACAGGGATCGACAAGTGGACCAGGAAATCTTTCTCTTCATCTGCATATAGGTCCCCAACATCAATTATACCTTGCTGGCCCTGGTTTATGATTTGGCTCAAGTATTTTCCAGTGGGAATTGAGCCAATGTAAACACCTGGAGAAATTGAACTCACTGTAAGCCGCAACTCCTGAGCCACAACACTCAGGAGGCCACCAATGCATCGGGCAAAGGCATCCTGTATGATACTTGCCCTCTGGATGAAGGAATATGTGCCGCCTGACACATCTGAAATAGCATGCATGGCAGTGGCATCATGGTCTGAGCCAAACCCAAATGTGTGGACTGGGATACACATCTGGCGGGCCCCATCCCCAGCCCCACTATCACTGGGACGGATGGCAGGTGGCAAGAGGTTCAGGTAATCCAATACCTGCCATGAGTTCAGAGAAGTCTGATTCTGTTGACCATTGGGATGGTAGCTAGTATCATTGTTGTAGGTATCCTTTCCATCTGAGAGGAGAATGATCCTAGCAACTGGATTCCGCTCCCGTCGATCCTCAAGGACTCGAACTCCTTTCTTGAGTCCTTCAACTATGTTAGTCCCACCACTTGACACTAGGGAATTGATGGCAAAAACAGCATCATCACGTCCTGCATCAGACATGAGACGGAGTGGAAAGATCCTTCGAGCTGTTGATGAGAAAGCAACAATAGAGAGGCGATCTGCAGGTCCTAAATTTCGTATGATGAAGCGGACTGCACGCTTGAGGAGTGCAAGCTTTGTGCCCCCCATGCTCCCACTAACATCAAGGACAGTGACAAGGTCAATAGGTGCACGGTCACGATGCCGGGCATTTTCATGGAGGCTTGGGGCTTTTACACTAACAAGGACAGCAAATGTAGAACAAGTTTCCGCTGCAGGCACTGCAGGGAACTCAGGGAAAACTTTAACAGTTGCAAGTTGGTTGGTTGGAGCTTCAACTTGATGGATCTGATGAAGTGGGTTGGGAGAGGAAGAAGCATGAGAAGTGTTGAGGGGCTCATCATCATCAAAGTGTTGTGGTTCAGCACGGGGTGACGGTTGTTGTGGCAAGTGGCGATGAAGAGCTGCGTGGAATTCATCAAGTGGAGTATTGAATGGTGTGATACGGGCCCGTCCAATGCCATTCAATTGAGGATCAACAATGTCTGAAGGAGCTTGGAAAGGAATGTCCTTCCATTTGGAGCGGCAGATGGGACAAAGATGGTTTCCATGCTTCACACTTGAGGCAATGCAGTTAAAGTGAAAGGCATGGGAGCACTCAGCTGTGAATATGGCTTGACCTTGCCCAGGTCTCATACTCCCTAAGCATATAGCACATGTTTTCTGTACCCATGAACAATTCACAAATCAACGTTGGGAATAACAATTAACAATCATCATAATAATGTCAGTTTGAAATTTTCCGCCAGAACAAGCCTGTATCAGTTTGAAATTTTATTATTGCTTCGAATGGCCACAAAAATTAACCAAGGTTTACAATGAAATAAATTCCTGACATGTTGGACAACAAGATGAAAACAGGAAAAAAATAAGAATCTTAAAGTACCAAATACAGTTTATTAAGCTTTTCTCTAATCTTGATTAAAAAATCCTAATTTCCATAAAAATGCAAAAGTTAATATTAATACAAAGTTATAATTTATAAAAATATATATGGATAAAAGAAATATAATTACATAAGTTAAAAACAAGACTGATGTCAGCCAATAAAAATAAATGTCTTATAAAAGAAACCCAGCATTGGTTTTATATTTCAGTTCCACAAGCCAAAGCAATTTTTCCAGTTTCACAAGGAGTTAAAACCAAGCACAGGCCCAATCACCAATGCTTTAATAATAGCTTTTTCAAACAGGGATGTTTAGGGTATGTCCTGATTCAAATAATTCAGACAAATAAACTTGTCTGGAAAAGTGGAAAGAAAGGCAAGAATAGCTTTCGTATGTCCAGTGAGTAAAAGAATATTACATGCTGCATTATAAGTTATTTTAGTGTGATTTTGGATGATACTATGGTCTATGGCCCAACTGGCCCTAGATGTATGGATACAAGTCATTAAGTTAATTCCAGGCTTTTTATTCATAATTTTTTTTCTGTTTGTAGAACAAGATTTTAATTATTCTTATTTTTCTCAGAATATCCAAAAAATGAGACACAGATATATTTACTTAAAAAAAAATAGATTAGAATAAACCAACCTTGTTCCTCTAAAAGCATTCCTAAGAGCTACCTAATAGAACTTTATACTGTGTGCCTCATGGACATTATCTTAACTGAGGTTCAAGCTTTAGCACAGAATATATGGGTGAACAAAAGCTCCCTACATAGTAACATGTCAGATGGACATAAGATTCCAATTAACCCTAATGGTCAATACCTTTCAGGAGTGAATTGAAATCATCTGGTCTACTTGAGACTGGGAAAATAACCCTAATCTAGCACCAAATTATGTCTTGTGACAAAATTCACCAGCTTGTACTCAGGAGTACCCCATCCCTGGTGGAAAAGAAATCAAAGGAAAAGGAGGTGCTTTTGCTGATACACTTTGCTAAACAAGGGTGGGAAGGAATAATTTATTTTGAGCTGTTTGGTAATTTTCTGTTGGGGAGGGCTAAGAATGTTTATCCCTCCCCTTCCTTAATTCTTAATTGTACTAAATTTCCTCTTTCTTAATGAAATTGATTCTGTCATTGATCAAAAAAGAATAAAAAAAAAGGAAATCAAAGGAGGTGCCCGATGTTGAATGAATCAAGATTCATTGGATTGGGGGGTATCTTGTTGATAGGTTGTTTTGGTTTTCTTCATGTTTTAACTGAAAATGCAAATTTTGTTTAATACATGTTTTGAATTATAGAACTGGAAACAGGGTTGACAATTAGACCAGATTTGAAAAATGAAAAGTTTTCAAAATTGAAAACTGTTTTTCTCTGTACAATTACTGATCTGTGCTGACATAGAGAAAAACCAGCCATACAAAACAACTTCCCTTCTCAGTTTTGACTTTTCAAAAATTTGTTTTAAAATGATTTAACATTAAATTATTGAAAGTAATTTTTGTTGCTGATCTAAAAAAATTTGCTGTGAAGTAGATGCTAGTTTTCAACCCCCCTCACCCCCCAAAAAAAAATAAAAAGCAGTAGCACATCCCATAAGATACTCATTACAGTTGATCTGTTGCAGCAATGAAGGATCTAACGGAATCCGTTTAGAAAGTTAATACAGCAAACATCTATAAAAATGTTCTACTGATTCAAAAGATAACTTTGTAGTTATCTCTTGTTACCAAAAAAATAAAAAAGATAAACTTGTAACGTGCAGCGTTTGCTTTAAAAGAATGTCAGTACTCCAAAAAAATGACAACGACCAAATTCGATCGCCATTAGTTTAATCAATCAATACAACATACATCACAGTCCCAGTTGATTTCAAGTGGACCAGTATTAGTTGATTCCAGCTCCGCACGGTCCTTTTCAATGCAGGATTTCTGGTCACCAAACCACAGTTTCTGAGACAAAAACTGCATTTCTGATTGGAGGGAGTTTTATCTCAAGTCACTTTTTATTAAACAAATCTAATCCAAGATACTACATGAGCTGACATCACCTCAACTTTCAACTCAATATTTCTTGACCAAAAAGAAAACTATTATTATATCAGTTTTTTTTTGGTAAACATTACGCTTCAAATTAATTTACGATTTTATCCTACAAGCTACAAGTTCCTAACACGTTACACATATCTGCTAACTATAGAAGATTGGTAAACCCCAGGATAAGACAAATTTTCTAACTATGCTCTAATTTAGTCTAATATTAGATCATCAGACAGAGACAGTGAGAGGCTTTTCTGTAATTTATGGTGAAAATAACCAAAATCACCGAGAAAACCCTGAAATGTTTGCTGACCAAATGAGGGCAGTTTGGTCAATTTATAAGGGCATTTCAGTCATTATAGAAAATCAAGGCTGGTTTGACGGAATAACAACTGGCAGCATTCACATTTCGCGGCGAAACTCATCGCCGATGGAAATATGCCGACAAAACAGTTGATTCCGGAAAAACCATTCAGGCGCGGATCGGAGAACCAAAAGACAACAATATGACCTTAAATGAAAACACAGTAACTACGAGTTTATAAGACAAATCTCAACTTAAATCTGCCAACCATTCCGGTTGTAAGAAGAAAAAGAAAAAAGGAAAACGAAAAACCCTTTAACACCGCTAAATTCTATAGAAGAGAAAAATCAGAAGAAGAAACCGGTATCTAACCTTAGTCGACCTGCTGCTAACGCTCCTCGACAACCGAATCCCAGACAAAGACGACCTCGGCGTGGAAACTCGAACATCGGTCTCGGAAACATCAGACGCCAAATTTCTCGATGGAGGAGAATCTAATGACAGCGAACTCTGTGAAGAAATCCGCAGCGATAGAGATTTCTTCAGCTTGTTCCACGCGCTCGTCATTTCGCCTTCTCAAAGAAGTGAACACTAAACAAGGAGAGATCGTAAAAGAGACCGACCAATCAAAACGACCTCCGTTTTTTAGCCTCAGATAATTTGCAGAAGGGCGCAGATAGGGTTAGGGCTAGGGTTTGAACTTTGAACTTCGAATCACAATCGCTCGTATGTGTTAAACATGAAGGAAGAAGCATGAGCAGAGAAAATGAAAATGGAGAAGAAACAAATTTGGGAATTTCCTCTTCTCTCTCTCTCCTTTTTTTTTCTTAATTATTATTTTCCTTTTTAATTTTTTGGGTTTTGAGGCTTTTCATAGGATCGGGGGAAACACTACTGGAAAGTGCGGAAAAAGTGCTCTTTCTAAGCGGGTGGGCGGTTAAGGACCAAGTACATTTGAACAGGTTCTATTTCCGGAAAATATCCTGACCGTCCAATAACGATCGGACGGGAAATTCTCCATCATTCTATATAGCTGGGCCCCATTTTACGTGATGTAGGAGATTTTGTAGTTTGATCTTCATTGTTTAGAAATATTATATTATTTCAATTTTCGTGATCAAGAGATGGCAACTGATGATTCTGATCGTATAGTTAATAGTTTTATGTAATTTATTAAGCTACTTCTTTACGCATCGAGTATTTTCTCTTTTATTAAAATTAGGAATTTATTTAATTTAATAATTCTCGCTCAGTAGCTACACTGCGAACTGACACTCTCACTAATGACGAACCTCCCAAGTCCCAACTGCCCCATCTGCCGCCGGAAGCCAAATGCATTACGACTCATTGGCTCATTGCTCATAGTTATCTCATTTAATATACATATTTATTATAATAGATATTAAATAAATATAAAATAATAAAAGAAAAGTATGCACATGTTACATGTGGGGACTGGGAATCCAGAAAGATCTCAAATATAACCGGCCGGTGATCGCCCACGTGGCAATGAGAAGTGGTCTAAGCTTTCTCTACGGTGATCATCAATAGTGGGGTCCGGGCAAGTGAACGGCTGATACTACAACTACTAGTCCTCCACATGGCAGAAGTAGGAGGTACTGTATAAGGAAACAGCCCAATTTATCTATTAATCTAGTTTTTCGAAAAATTAACAAAAGAAAATTAATAGTTTAAATAATGTACAGGAAAAGTCAAAAATCCGATCCACAGAGGGTTTCCCATTTTGATTTGATTCACAATGGAGGGGCCCACTTTTTCTTTGATGGGAAGGTTAAAGGGACCCACTTTATTGTGACAAATAAGACCGGATCTGCTCCTAACACCTGACACGTCACAGGCACCTTACACGCACATCGGAGGTGTTTTCTAATGCACGGTGGTTAGGCTGCAACTTGGGCTGGGTTGGTCCGAACCCAATCCAAAAAAAATTGGGTTGGGTTGATCTTCGGGTTAGGGTTAGGGTTCAAATTCATGAATCGGACTTTATTTCGGGTTGGGTTAGGGTTGATTTATATATAACATACATTGATTTGTTTAGATGCATGATATTTGTATAACCCCCACCACATAGTATCATGTATTTCTTTTAAGATAATCGCTTCACTTAATCCTAATTAGAAAGATTAAAACCTTAATAATATTATTTTATGGTTTTTGAAAATTTTATTCTTCATCTCCTCTATGTTGTTTGCTACCCAAGAAAGATTTATCGTAAGTCATAACTCATAATAAACTGTAGTAATTTCTAACACTTGTTTTTCTGAATTTTGTACTAAAAGAACAAAAAAAGAAAAATAACATCAACAAATGAATACTAATGAAACATATGATTAATATATGTAGTGAAAGTTGAGTTAAGATCTAAAATTGAGAAATTCTATGAGGTTTTAAAGGATGGGAAGAAGATTGGGTTGGGCCCAACCGGAGCCCAACCCAATCCGAAATTGACTTCGGGTTGGGTTTGGTTGGTTAGAGTTGAAGGAATTTAGTTAGGGTTAGGGTTAGGTTGGGTTGAAGGTCGGGTTGGGGTTTAGAACTTAGGGTTGAGCTAGGGTTGGCCTCAACCTGACCTAACCTGGCCCGACTTACAGCCCTACACGATGGATGTGCCTGTGAGGCACCCATTTGTGGGGAGCAAATCCTGTCATGTGACAAGTCCCTCAGTTCTTTCAAAGGACCAGATCTGCTCCTCACATAGGGCACCTCACAAGCACATCCTACCATAAGTCATTATTCATGGGAGATGTTTCTAATGCACGATGGATGTGCCTATGAGACGGCCATATATGAGGAGCAAATCCCATTCCATGGTTCAATGTTCCTAAAATTGGGAATTGCTCCTCATTCAGGGCACCTCACAGGCACATTTTATGGTGCATTAGGTAATAACATATAATTACGAGAGGTGTTCCTAATACACGGTGGGATGTACATGTGAGGTCGGTGTGAGGTGCCATGTGTGAGGAGCAGATTCGGTCTCATGCTCCTACTCATGTGAGGGCCTGAGTGGCCCTTTGTTAAAATGATTCCTTGGACCAAAAAAAAAAAAAAACAAATTCTCTACTCTAAAACCAACCATTAAAAGAAAAAAGGTGCTCACAGAAGAGCTTCCATGCAATAGAAGAAAGATGTGAAGCTTTTAAAAGGAGATTTCATGTCATCTCTCTTAGCTTTCTCGTTAACCAATAATGTTTACCAAACCATCAAACCAGAAAGATGTTGAACTGTTTTGGTCACCGGGTCATGGGTTGAATGGTTCAATCTTTTGATTCAATTGCTCAACTGTATGAAATATAAAATGCAGGAGCGGTTCTAGATTATTTTTTTAGTGTCAGCAACTGAGCATAAAGAGATTACAAAAAAAAAAATCCAATGAGCATTTAGAATTTTGGTAGTATTTCATCATTACTGTAGTAACACTTATTTCGTTTGATTCTGGTTTTTCTACTGTCTGTTTGGCATCGTTGCCGTTGTTCCAGAAAATGGCACCACATTAGTGCTACATTGGAAAAAACGATGCTTCAGGAAATATGTGTTTGTTTGGAATTATTTTTCCATAAAAAATGGTGTTCTAAGCCGTGCCTTAGAAATCGGGAAGGCATGGCTTGAAGCAACACCAAATTTGACATTTCCTGGAGCTATAGCTTGCTGCTGTCAATATGGACGTGAGGTGACTGTTAGACAGTTTTGTATGCCCTTAGCTTCAATCATTTTGATGTACTTTTGTTATTTAGTGGAAATAAATAAAGTGCATGTTTGATTCATGTTGTTTGGTTTAATTCTGTGTAAAACCCTA